ATCTAATCATATATTTGAACTCGTGGGGATATGGGGATTGGGTTTTGGTCCGAGCCTCAAGTTTGGACCATGTGGGCCCGGGGTCGGATTTTGAAATTTTTGAAAGAAAGCTAGGGAATGCATTTCTAGGTTATGGGATTGTGATTTTGGGTTATTATTGATAATTTTGAACCTAATTATGCCTAGATATCGTTGTGCGGGAATCGGATTCGAAAGGAAAGGCGGTGTTAGAGGCTTGATTGCTAGTTTCGGCATCGAGGTAAGTGTTTGATCTAACTTTGGCTTGAGGGATTAGGATTAGGACATTATTTGCTATGTGCTATGTGGTGTCGGTGTATAGGTTTGGTGACGGTTACCTATACGCCCGAGTCAAGCATGACCGTGGGTCTTTAATTGATATTGTTCGATGCTATAACATGGATTCTTGTCGTTGAATTGATTCATATGTTAGATTGTGGGAGTTAAATGAATAAGATGGCTTAAATGAGGAATTCAAGTGTAATACCTTGCCGAAATATATTGAACTCTGTTGTAGACTCTCCCTTGTCGGGATATCTTGGTTGATAGCTTTGCCCTTGCCGGGTTTAGATAAATATACATAAACTGTTGTGTTGTCTCGAGAGAGGGCTTATGTGTGATTGAATAGAATTGGTATTTGCTGAAATTGGGATCGTGTGGCGCGTCGTCCACTTGTATATCATTATCTGGGATCGTGTGGCACGCCGTCCACCCGTGAATCATGAAATTGGGATCATGTGGCGCGCCGTCCACTGCTATACACTGAACTTGGGATCGTTTGGCGCGCCGTCCACTAAGCACCCTTGACTTATTTTGAGGAATCTGTAGTTGTATTGTTGTACTGCTTTAGACTTATTCTTTTCTGTCTTTAACTGTTTATCCCCGATAGCATGTCCCCTCCCCGTTACTTATTTATTCTGTATCATTATTTTCTGCTTTTGGTATATATATATCTTGCACAGGTTAAATGTTGTAAGTCCTGTCTAGCCTCGTCACTACCTCGTGAGCCGGGGTTAGGCCAGGCACTTACCAGCACATGGGGTCGGTTGTGCTGATACTACTCTTGCTGTGCCTTTTTGTGCACAGATCCAGGAGCAGCCTTCGGAGCGCAGCAGCCGTAGATAGGGAGCCAGCCTTCAGTCCAAATACTGTTAGGTAGTTCACTGGCGTTCGTGGGCCCCTCAGTCTCCTCCTATATGTAGTTTGTTTATCATTTCAGATAGACGATTATGTATTTCTTTCTTCAGACTTCTGTATGTAGTAACTCTTAGAAGTCCGTGAGTGTTGTGACACTATATTTCTGGGTAGAGGATTTCAGTTGTCTTTACTTCCGCACTTCGATTCTATCTCTAATTAAAAATTGAGGCTTTTTTATTATAAATTGTTGTTTCCATTTATTATTTTGTTGCAATAATTAGTTGTTTATTCCTTACTGAGCGGCTTGCCTAGCTCCTACAGTAGGAGCCATCGCGACCCCGATGGTGGGAAATTCGGGTCGTGACAGTTTATTACGGCCTGAGCTGATCAGGGCAACCCCCATTGTGTTTTCGCCCTCAAGGGCAGGCGCAGCCGCCTCGTTCCCCTCCGCATCCGACGGCGGAGAGTCCAAACGTACCACCTCTGCAATAGGCGTGAAGGCGACCTTACGCCTAACCAACGGCCTCTCCTCCTCCTCCTCGTTCAAAGGTGATTCCGCCCTGGGGCGAACAACCCCTGAAGACGCCTCGACCCGAGGTACAGACCGTGCTGGGGAATGGGCCGCCGACGACTCGACAGAAGTCGTCCTCAGAACTGGACGCGGCATTGGCACCATAACCAGCCGAGCGGTCGCACCCGGCCTGCGGAAAGCAAGTTGAGGAGCCCTCACTCGGCGCACCCCTCCTGATCAACAAAAGAAAAGAATTAAAAGGAGAGAAACTCAGCACGACTAAACGGGAACGATGCAACAACTCAAACACTCACCAGAAGCGGGCCTACGGCCGTGTCTTACCCAGAAGGACGGCCACGTGCGAATCCCTGCTGTGTGAGGGAGGACGACCTCAACCTATTCGCCAATACCAGGCAGTGGAGCCAATGGTGCCCATCCAGCTACGAACACAAGCCAAAGTAAAACACCTATCAGAGCAGAGAATAAAAAAGGACGGAAAGCAGAATCCAACGAGCGGAAAACTTACGTGCATGGTTCCAAGTCTCCGGGAAATCCGTAGCACCCGCCACCAAGTGCTCGGTCCTGATGTAAAAGAAATTCTCCTAAGTACGAGAATCGACCGTATCATCTAACTCCACGGTCAGGCCCCTGGCCCCACGAGGGACCATTCGAATCATAGTACCACGGACCCGTTGAGGGGCGTACAGAGTTAGCACGTGCCGCAATGTTATTTCTCTTCGGGCCAATTCCGCGTACTTAGCGAGCATGGCGAAGAGCTTGTAGAAAGAAGGGACGAGTTGGCCAGGGCACACCCCGTAATAATGGCAGAAATCCACCACCAACATCGGAAGGGGAAGCTTGAATCCCAGCCCAAAAGGATAAGCGTAGAAAACGCAATATCCTGGGCGGTCGACATGAACCCGCTCCTTGCTCTCGGCTAGGACAATGTCAACAAAACGGGGAATATCCCATTGCTCCCTCAACTGGGCAATGCCCACCTCCCCCATCAATGGGGCCTCATCTACCTGGTCCTCCCCCTCGTCGGTGGTGAAGTCAGCTGCTGGACCTCCGGGTAAAGACAGAATATCAACCGCCGACGGGATCCCATCGATATCCGCCTATTCGGTGGCCCTCGCCATCGTAGGAGACCCAGCGACCACCGGAAGAGTCGCCGGAGTAAGGTTTGTACGAGAACTGCTTGCCATTACTGATTACTGAGTAATGAGTGAACAAGATTCACCAAAGAAGGAGCGAAGATGAAGATTGAGTGAAAAACGACGAAGAACAACACAAATTAACGAAGAAAAGAGAATGAGAGAAGTTACTTCTTCAGAAATCTTACTTAGACAGATAATAAAAAATGAGAAATGAATGACATAACTCATTATTTATACTACCAAAATGGCTTTCACGAATTCCAAAAGCCATCATTAACTACTTGACCAACCGCAAAACGGTTCGAATCTACAGTAACATGTGTCATTATGACGGGTACCACGAAACGGCTTTGCAACCGTCAAATCGACACTTCATCTTTGGAGCATTATAACGACCTGGATACATTGAAAGGACGTCCAGTATGCCTCCACACGCTGAGCACTCCCAACGGCCACCTACGGGGAACATGACCCCGGATGGAAACATCATACGGCCATTCCTCCAAGTAAAAATGGCTACGGCCATCTCTGAAATGTACGTGGCTACGGCCATCTCCCAAAAATATATGGCTACGGCCATCCCCCCAAGTAAAAATGGCTACGGCCATCTCCCAAGTACAACTGGCTACTGCCGTCTCCTAAATATAAATGGTCACGGCCATATCCTCTAAATATAAATGGCTACGGCCACCCTTTAAGTGTAACTGGCTACGGCTATCGCCACATCATACATGGCTACGGCCATCCCCTAAGTGTAAAAGGCTATGGCTATCTTAAAAGTGTGAGCAGCTACGGCCATCTCAGGTCACGGCCGAGACGGCACCCGATCTCCTCTTCCGAAGTTCTTGAATCGCACTCGGCAAAGTTCGCTCATCGAGTTCGACCGAATCCCGACCTCGATAAGCGAAGGGACTAACTGTATGGGTCAAAACTTGACTCATGATAATCAATGAGATTAATTCGCTCTTAAGCCTATTCGGGCTAACAAATGGCACAACCATTCATTAATGATAGCATAAGAAGATCATTCGGTTTAACCAACGAGGTCACGGCCTACTCACTGATGATGGGCGTCCCCTCGACATGACCACGACCGTCCAGCACCAGCTGGCAGGGTTCACAGCTAGGGGTGTTCATAAAAACCCGAACCAAACCGAAAACTAAACCAAACCGACCAAAAAAACCGATACTTTTTGGTTTGGTTTGGTTTGGTTTTGGTATTGAATTTTAAAAACCGATGAAATTTGGTTTGGTTTTGGTTTTAATAAGAAAAAAACCGAACCAAACCGACTATAGGAGTAGCTATTTCAAATTTATTATTACACCTATATATATATGTATATTGTTATACAAAGTTTCAAAAAATTTATGATAAATGTTAATAGTTTGCACTTTTACTATAGTTCTTTACCTTTACATTCTAGTTTGATTAGTAGTTTTCTTTTTTTTAGTGTAAGAATCCATTTCGTATTAAAAATAATATATTTTTAATCGATTCCTTAAATTATTCATCGCTATTTGATTCAATTATCATCAATATATTTTGGTAAATAATAGATTTCTCAAAGGGCAATTTTTTTGGTAGTGTTACATTGAAAATGTGGTCGCCGGAATATGTGTTTGGTAGTGTATGTCTTATATTTAAGAAAAAACCGACAAATAACCGAAAAAACCGAAAAACCGACATAAACCGAATCGAGAAAAATCGACTTAATTGGTTTGGTTTGGTTCTAATATTTGATAAATCGACTTACTTGATTTGGTTTCATTTTAGGGAAAAACCGATCCAAACCGAACCATGAACAGCCCTATTCACAGCTATAAATACTAAGAGAAAGAACCCTAAAAGGGGGCTACTTCTTCTTCTTCACCTATATTTCTAAAAAAAGAGAGAAAACCATTGTAAGGCTCTGAACCTCTCCAAGGAGAGGCAGACCACATCAATATTAATCTATAAAAAGCTTCCCACCTTTATCATCTTAATACATAAACTTGTTTCCTGTCCTTTTTATTTGGTCTTTTGGTTTTTTATTATGATCCGCTATGATCGGCCCTTGTTTTACTATGATTGATTTATGCTTATAAAGTATACGATAACTTTGAGCTAAACAAATTTAATTTGGCAGTTTAAAACATCAGGTAGAGGAGGAAATGTCATGTGTATCTCGCTTAATTACCTGAATTGAAGCAATAGAAAAGCCAACATGATAGTAGATAGTGCCAACACCTAAAGCTAAGGTAACATTAACAGCTAGTCGGAGCCAGTAGTAGCCAAGATCACGAGACATATTCACAAATGACCTTTTTGTCAAAACAAGGCTTTGTGTTGTGAAGTCGGCCTGGCTTCTTTTCTCCAGCACTTCGCCTTCCTGTATATGATTTTGATGGTCGGGAAGCACAAAATACTAATGAGTACATCTCTCTATTTCCTCTCCTAATAGCTTTACTGAATTTGCATTTCAAGAAGTAAGTTGGGGGGTGCTGAGCAATATAATCATAGAGTTTACTCAGATTTTGTACCTGTTTGCAGATATCAGCAACTTGGCTTTCAACTGCTTCAGACTTCTCGGACGCTTTGTACGACTTTATCAGGATATTTATCACTTCTTCTGTTGGTTTACTCCTAGTTGAACCTTCTTCTAAGTCGTCCTATTATTCATAAATAGCCAATTCATGAGTTTCATTTAATGCACTTGAGGAAGAATATTATTTCTATTAGTATAACTAATAATAGTAGATAAAAAGATCAAAACCCAATTCTTACCTGATCAAAGTCACTGTTTATTGTTCGGAGAAAATGATCAGAGGGATTCTGGAGAGTCGGGCAAGGAAACCCACTCAATGCAAAAAACTGCAGTACAATCATTTCATGTACACATGAAGTGTTATCAATTTGGCTAATCAATTGATTTGGGAATGCATGTTTAAATTTTAAGGCGAGTCATAATTTTAGAGAATTCAAACTAATTATATGCTCACCTCAGTTGCTGCACTAGCAGGGCCAAAATACACAGTTCTGCCAGAAGACAGAAGACATAGAGAATGAAAGAGACCGAAAACTTCAGCACCAGGTTGATGAATTGAGGCAATGATTGTTCTCCCTTGGCATTGGCGTGCAATTCTTTGCATGACATAATAAGATGCTGCACTATCAAGTCCACTAGTTGGTTCATCGAGGAAGAGAAGTTTCGGCCGAGTTAAAAGCTCTACGCATATGCTGACTCTCCTCTTCTGTCCTCCACTTATTCCTTTCCCGCTCCATCCTCCAATTCTTGTTTCCATGGCATCTTGCAACCCCATTTCCTTTATCGTCATGTCTGCTATTTCCTTTTTCTTTAATTTTGGCATGGAATTTGGGAGTTGGAGTTCAGCCGAATAGTATACGGCTTCCTTTACTGTTAGTGTTGCAATTAGAGTATCATCTTGAGTCACATAGGCCTGATTGCATCAAATGTTATTACTATTAACTCTAATATTGTTAGAAAAAGCTTAGAGATGCCGATGCATACTGTAAATAATTAAAGAAAATAGAAGTTGTTTTAAGACGAGTTATACCTATCTTGTTTTAAGTTAAATTCGCTCCTGCCAGTTTCTTTTTGACGTGCAAGTAAAGTTGTGTCCATATGTTTCTGAGATACAATATGATTACCTTATGCACATGTGGGAGTAGAATCCTATGCGGCCATAGAGAAGATCAAAGAATCTAACGTCCTACAAAAGATATTATGCACTATAGTAGAATGATCAAAATATTTAAGAAAGGTAGATGAAGATCATTGTTTTAGCAGCTGTCTATATATGTTTCTTCTACTTTCATAATTGGCCTAAAAAGCTAGTACTTCTTCTGTTTAATTTATATGACACTCTTTTTCTTTTGGGACATAAAAATTGGACACCCTTTTGAAACTTCAAGAATTCAATACATATATATAAGTATTAACGAGGTGTTATATGATAGAAGGATGCCTACCAAGGTGAAAGGTAAGTTTTATAGAACAACTATGTTATATTACAGTGAATGTTGGGCTACTAAAATTCTACATATCCATAAGATGAGTATTGCAAGAATATTATGCTAAGATGAATGTGCGACCACACAAGATTAAAACAACAACAAAAACATACCCAGTGTATTCTCAGGGTGTGGGATCACACGATATTAGATTAGATAAAAGATGGCTGCATTTGCCAAAAGGTGCAAGTAGCACACATTGAGGATAAATTGAGAGAAGGCCGCTTGAGATGGTTTGGTTATCTCCTGTGTTGACCTACAGATGCAGCTGTCCGTAGGTGTGATACTATGGTGGAGGAAGGTGCTAAAAGGGAACGGGATAGACCTAAAATTACATGGAAGGAAGAGCAAAATTCATATAGGCGATACCTACTAGTTGGGAATAGGTCTTCTTCTTCTTCTTCTTAAGGGGCTATGATATTTGTGTCGCTAAACTAATTTTTCATCAGTTACTTTTATATTCCACGATTATGATATATAAGTCAATTTAATACTCCCTCTGTTTCAATTTAGATGATGTAGTTTGACTTGGCACAAAGTTTATGGAAAAAAGAAAGACTTTTGAAACATGTGGTGCTAAAAACTTAAGGGGCAAAAGCTTAGAAGAGCCATAATATTTGTGTGACTATAAAAGCTTCTCATTAAGGGTAAAGTAGATAGAATAAAAAGTTTAAAGTTAAGTTGTTTCTAAATATAAAAATATGTCATTTTTTTGGAACAGACTAATAAAGAAAGTGTGTCATATTGAAACAGAGGGAGTTTAATTATGTGATAAGTCAAATGCCATCGTATGGGATGGAATATAAGGAATGTATATTTAAAATCAGTGTGGGAGAAAGTCCCTCTTGTTTTTACTAGCACTTTCTCCTTTTGAAAATCTCCAACAAATAATACACAGCTGGTAGAGTATTTGACAAAAATTAGAGATTATTGGATGTTAGGCCCCTGTAATTTATTCCAAAACAGGATGAAGTTTTACTTACGGAGGTTCCATATGCCGGTCTCTGTTTGCGGCCATTGATTAGAATATCTCCACTCTGCCTTGTGTTGGATCCTAATCTCCCTGCTCACATAAGTACACTTACAAAAATTAAATAACAGCAGTTTGCTAAGGTCGGGGTGCTTCAGAAATACTGACTTTGTTTCAATTTATGCATCATACTCTCCTTTTTAGTCTGTTTTAGAAAAGAATGTTTCTTTCTATATTTAGTAAGTTTTTAATTCAGACATCATAAGATTCAAACAGGTGATTTCGATATGTTATACATGTCTTTAATTTAAAACCACAAGATTCCAAAGTACTTACATTCTTAAACTGTCAAACTATGACACATAAAATGGAACGAAGAAAATACCCGCTATTGCGTCAAGAAGTGTCGATTTACCAGAGTCAGAAGGACCCATGATAGCCAAGAGCTCCCCAGGCTTTGCATAGCTTGTCAAACCTTGAAGAATTGCTTTATTGCCACTTTTCACGCACAGATTTTCCCATGTCAAGAAAACTCCTCCATTAGTATTTTAGTAGTTTGGCTTCACCCAATTCAACAACTTCTTTTGGTCCTTTGTTTGGCATGGGAGTAGTAACTGAAATGGTCCATATGTTGGAAGTTTGAGAGTACTTTAGTCCACAAAATGAAAGAAAAACGAGTCTGTCTCTTTTCCATATGGAATCAATAAATTTCTTGTTAATGTTTGTTGTGAGTTTCTCTTATGTTAAAAAAGTTAGATGCCGTACTCTTTTTCTCAACGGTTGTTTCACTTGAACATGAGGAAAAGGTATCAGTCACTCCTTAGTCCTAAGTCCTGTATTGCTACAATCACCTTGCTAAGTTCTAACTAATATTTAATCTATGTTGCGCGAACTCTCCAAATTGCTGCCGCACCCATGTCGGATCCTCCAAAAGTGCATTACCTTTGAAGGATCCGACACGCGCTTAATCCGAGCAACATAGTCCTTAATTGTTTGATCAAGGCTAAACAGACAGAAGCAGGTACACAAAGCAAAGGGGAAAAGGTTAAAATTGCCTTTGGATTATTAAAAATAGAGCAACTACATTCTCCTGTGATTTTGGTCCCAAAAATATTCTTACCTTTAGTCTATTGGAGCACTTATGCCCCTCAAACCTAACTGAGCTCTGGCTTAGATTTGACCACATTAAAAAGTAGTAGTAGTCTTTTGCTTAGATGGAGCTCCAGCTAACATGGCCGTCCAAGAAACAACATTTCTGACTAGCATTGCGTCATATACTGAGCATCATTCAGCATCCCATTTCTGATATGCTCAGATATCACACAGTTCCGAGACCACACTCTTTTGGGGCATTTTATCGAACAGGTTGCGTGCCGTCTCAACATCACCTTTCTTAAAAGAACGCTGGTAATTCTTGAGTTCCAATTGAACAATGATTATGCATTAGAACTCACATGACAAATCCATGAATATGACTTTACGTTCCTAAAGCAAATTACAGAAGCTGCCCATCCTCCTATGGAGCAGAGAGCCTTCAAATCCATAGTCATTCTTGGCCCTTTTCCCTAAAGAAAACTAGAATTATTACATCCCTCAACATTTTGAAATGAAATGGGGACATTCCTTCCGGATTAATACATAAAAAAATTGGATTTCATAGATGTCAGGTTATAAATTTGCAGATTTTAACCCAACCAAAAACGATATATTTCTACCAGGTGGCCACTTTCGTAACCTTTTTTTGGAAGTCAGTTATTTTTTTTTTCTTTCAAAATTAGACCCGTGGTTTGGATTATAACGAATAATTAACCAAAATAGTGTGTCCATCCAACCGCGTAAACTAAGAATAGCCTACACGATATGCATAATTTATATATAATATATGTAGAGGCGGACCTATGTATATATTAGAGAGTTTATCAAATCCTATTAATCTTGGCAAAAATTCTGAATATATGTAGCATATAGGTAACTGGTTCAACTGAACTCATAATTTTACGTCTGGAGCATAAATTTATGTATAAAAAACCTTAAAAAATAGGCGAAATACATAAATAGCCCCTTTAAGTTGTCCACAATGGTCAGTTGGACACCTCAACTTAGCATATGACCAATTAGACACTTCAAGTGACAATTAACTAGGTCAAGTAAACACTCCAGTGCACCAAGCCAAGAGCGTGCATTACAATTGCTAAATAAACCAATTAAAAATTTCCACGTATTATTTGCAATAAAAAATTATACACATGTAATATAAAAAAAAATTAAAGAAAAAAGCCCCCTACCCACCCCCTACTTCATCTTCTTCCTTACACCC